ATTCATGACTCACCGCTGATAACCTCCCTTTTCTCCATCCTCAGATGATTACAGCCAGCACATCCCGTTATAATCAAACTTCTTCTAAACTTATTCTTTTAGTTTGGTTGAGTAGCCATCTTTGGCATCATCTTTTCATTTTCTGATAATTGATTTAATGGAGTTCCATGGCATGTTCAGTGTTGTAGCATATTTATCATTTTTACAAACTCTGCTTTGGACTGATCTGTACAACGTTGCCTCCAAACTGTGAGAGTTCCTTGATGTTGTCGCTTCTTTGGTGGTACCCCAAATCCAATCAAATTCCAGGTTTTCAGGACATTTCAGTCAATGCAGACTCAAATAAAACAGTGTTTCCATATATAACTTTAAAAATTATTATGTTTAATACATTTTGTGCAAAACATCACATTGCACACAGGATAAAGCATAAAGCAAATGATGAAACAAACAAAATAACATTAAACCAAAGTTTCAGGTATAATTCTGAGTTTTCAACATTTTAGTTATTTCCTTTAACTTTCATATACACCAGTTTCCCGATTATTAAATATGTTCTGATTTTCACAAGATACGCACATGTTTTGAACAGACATACAATGTGCCTCAGTTCCTGTGACTGGTTTTGTATCTGCAGTAAAAAACAATGTGCAGATGAAAGCAAAATGAATATTTTCAACCGGAGTGAAACCCCGAACAGGAAACCACTTTCAACAAATCTCCACAACTGCAAAGCAACACTTGCAATCTGTCACGTCTAAATATACGTTTGTCTCGTATGACTTGGTTCTGTTACTGAGTTGCACCTCGACGTTGGAAAAGTCTGGACGTTGCATCTGGCAGCTGTGTACTTGACTGGAACTGGAGGAGGTTTGAATGGCGGCGGGAGGTCCATCCTGCAGTGGGATAGCAAACATTTATTGGTGTCATAGCTGGTCAGTGGAAAGCATGAAAGCATAACAGGTTAGCAAGGTCTCAGTTCTGATTAGGATTAAGAAGCTGCAGAAAGAATGAAAGTTTTACCTCTTCTGTTTATTTCGTCTCCAGTAAAGAAAGCCGACCATTACAATCACTAATAGCAGCGAAATGACAATTAACACCACCAACAAATGAGTCCGTCCGATACCTGATGAGCAGATTGAAGAAAAAAGTTAGTTTTTTTCTGGAAAACTAAAAACACTACCATAATCCAAACATATTGACTGTTTTGCTTCCAGTCCTCACAAACTGCTCCTAATAAATGCAATGCCGCAAAGTCAAACTTTTTGTCCTGAAGCTAAATGTTGCTTATGTAATCCTCTCTCTTGGTTAGTTGTGCACACACTTTAAGTGCTTCTTCTTATGAGTTTTCCATCTGACGAGGCATATAGCCTGATGCTTAGAAAACGGGAGTCTGCACAGATCCCACATGTGAGGGGAGTTTAGGGTGTGAAATCAAATGAACTTTAGCTAATGTTCACCAGTGGTTTCCCTTTTCAGCATGCATTAAAGCTCATGCTCAATAATCCAGGTAATAACCCAACAATGTTCAATCAGGTCATCTGGACTGTTTCTTTTTTTTTTAATCTGAGACATTTCAAAATTCATCCAAAGAACTTCATCAGTCTGAGAAGCCACAAACATACCCACACATAGCACACTCCCATAGCGTAAAAAAAAAACAGTTTGCTGGTGATAAGATGGTTTCTGGGGCCCGCCCTCTCCCCCGTCACCTCCTCTGAGGCAGCCATGCCAAAGTGGTTCAAAACATCAAAGTTCATGCTCAATAATCCAGGTAATAATCCAACAATGTTCTGTCAGGTCACCAGAAACCATCTTAACACCAGCAAACAGTTTATTTTTCTCCCACTATGGGAGTGTGCTGCTTGTGGGACTCAGTTTGTTTGTGGCTCCTCAGAATGAAGAAGTCCTTTTAATGAAGGACAAAACGTCTCAGCAAATAAAATAAACTGTCCAGATGACCTGACTGAACATTGCTGGATTTTCAGCATGCAGTTCGGCTGTAGTCATGCTTTTTTTCCAAACAGTTTTTAATTATTTTATTTTACAAACAAGCTGATGTGGCATTCACAAAACAGAAATGTGGATTTAGGATTCAAGCAAGAAACAGGTAATAAATCTTACTGAATATTACCTTTGTTCTCAGAGATGAACACAGTTACTTTAACACTCTTTGTTGGGGTTAAAGGAAGATGTTTGGGGCGTTTGGAAACATTTTCCTCGGTGTTGACTAAGGAGTCGTCTGCTTGTGGTGTATGAAGCTTGGACTCATTCCTCATCTCCTCGCTGACTGTTTCCAGTGTTGAGCTGGAAACTGCAGTTGCATTAATTGATATAGTAAAGTTGAGTGAGTGGTAGGTGCTGGAGTGTGTGTCAGGGGATAATGGGATCCTGGTAGGTGTAAAACTGGTTGAGGAGGTTATATTTTCTACATTTGTGGCTGTAACATAACTGAGGTTTAAAGGAGTGATCCAGTTCACAGGGTTTGAAAGTTCAGTGGTTTGCAGTGTTGTCAAGCTGCTGTGTGCTGAATCAGTCACACTTTGTGGTGACGCCGTCACAGGGTCTGGAAGAAGAAAAACATCTATTTTTATAAAAAGAACAATCAGATTGTTAAAACAATGTTGATTATAACATTTTAAATGTGAACAGGCTTTGAAGAAATTGAAATAAACAAGTACAAATAGTATATTATTTGGAAAGTTTCTTCTTTTTTTTAATTTCTGTGTTATTTTCATCATTTTTATTTATTTTTTGGTCAATTTTTGCTTTAATTTCTTGACCAAATGGCACATTATTAGTCACCTTGTATCAAATACAAATTTATTCTCACACATAATCAAAGGTAACTTTTTTGTGGCTGCACCCTTCTTCAAAGGTTGCCAAAGCGAGCGACCTTGCATGAAAGAATTGGCAATTGCCGAATGACCTTCCTGACGCAACCTGGGCTTGAACCCACAACCTCAGACCATGGCATTAACCACCAAGCTCCCGCAGCCCCCAGCCTCACACAAAATCAAGAAAACAAAAAAATCACTTTGAACCCTTGTTTTTTTTATTCAAATGAGGCTGACATCATATTTATTGTTAGTGGTTTTTTTTTGTCAGACTCTATTTATACTTATGCAAACACATGCATACTGCTTTTTATGCTGTCGAGTAACAGTTTTTATTATTCTTATATAAATAAAAATTATCTGTTGGATTTGCAACATATAAAATGTACCCTCCTTCCGGGCTTAATTTGAGCTGGATCGTACCGGAACAGGAGCCGGGAACGCTCTTATTTTGACAGGCTGCATTCCGGTAACTGTTTGCTTGGATCAGGTAACTCTCAGACTTTCTAATAATAAAGTTATGAACAAATAAGACTGCCTTGAATGAATAACACTTATATTGGATATGTAAACTAAAAATAACTACATAAACACTCATTTTAAACATAACAGCCACTTACAAGCTTCCTAATATCACATCAGAGCTGCCCCTGCAAGTAAGCATTTCTGCTTAAACAAATCTCAACCCCTAAAAGTTCAGTCATGGGCAATTTCATTTAAAACACAAAAATATATTTAAACAGCACAACTAAATTGCAACTCAGTTTTCCAGTTTGAGTGGATCATTAATAAAATTTTGATTGTTTATTAAAATTACGTGAGAAATATTTGATGAGTAATCACGTTTATGTACATGATGTATCAAAGCAACGGTGCCGATTTGTTAAAATAACAGCGATCAAAATGTCGAAAAGACGGTCCAATTTACTTTCATTAAAAAAGTCTTCTCAAAAAACTGAACTACCAAGAATTGAAGCACGAGTGGCAATGGAGAGAGTACTGAAGCAGGTGCAAGTGATGTGGGTGAGTGCTGAGCTAATCAGGCCACAAAGTTTCAAAATTTACACATAAGGTGAAAGTTAATTTAGCATTTATTATAGAGTTTATTTAGCATTTGTTTATAGAGTTTGTCTACATTTATACACAAAAAAAAAAAGATCATTAAGGTTGCACCTAATAAAGAATAAAAACAGCCTTGCTTTGTAGACATGTCAACATATCCTAATATTGCTAAGTCTAATATGTAAATTAAAAGTAAATAAAACCATACAAACATATTGTAATCTTAGAAATATGCAAAATAAGTAAAAGAACAAATTTCACTTAAGTCTTTTCTTACTGCTCGGTGTAATATATGCTGACACAATATTACATTTAGGAACTTTTAGTTGTTGTTGTTTTGTTATGTTTTTTGCATATATTTTCCCAAAATGTCAATTTATTCCTTGAATGAACTTTACACTGAACCTGAATACAATAATAATACGTAGAGGGAAAAAATACTTTTAAATACTGCAACAGAGTGCATCATTAAAATTTGTCCCAAAATGACATTTATGAGCAGATACATAGTCCACAGGGTTAAAATCCATCCATGCATTATCTTTACCCACTTGTTCATTTTCGGCTCACCGGGGTCACTGGTGCCCATATTGAGCAGTCACTGTGTGAGAGGCGGGGGACACCCTGGACAGGTCCATCACAGGGACACATAGAGACAAACAATCATTCACTCTCTCACTCAGACAACTGAGTTACCAATCAGCCTATCATGCATGTTTTTGGTCTGAAACTGGAGTATCTGAAGAAAACCCACACATGCACATTGAGAACATGCAAACTCCACCCAGTAAAGTCCCGGGCTGGGATTTGATCCAGCGACCTTCTCACTGAGAGGCAGCAACTCTACCAATGAGGCACCGTGCTGCCCACAAGTAAAATCATTCAGAAACATTGGATTGTGCAGCCAGAGGCACAATCGTCCGGGGCAACATGGGCTGCAATTTTGGCTTTACAGTTCTTTCTAGGCTAATTTTAGAAAACAGTTTCCTTTTTTCTTTCGTTAACAAACAAACTCCAGCCAGAACCGAAAGTATCCACTAAAAGACAACAAAAAATTTAAAAGAAAGAATCAATTTTGTATCATATATCGTTGCGGAGCAGTGCGGTCATTTATTTCAACATCACATCTTTTCAAGCAGCTTTCAGGTTTTTCTTGGTTTAACTTGCTGTACTTCTCCCATTTGTCCAACAAACTGTGCTCTTACCCTGCATCATGATTCAGGGGTGGGCAAGGTTGTGATGCTGCGTGTTGTTGTTGGTTCGTGTGGTTTGAAAGCAGAGATGAAGGACAGGAAGGAACTTGCGACATCATTTATGCTTTTTGCTACACTTTCAAACTCATGTAGACCGGATGACAGGCAAATCAGCAGGGGAATTTTTTTTTCCACCTGAGCAGTAATGACAGATTATAAACGCTTTTCTTCCTTTGGATTCAGTTTCTTCCACAGCTTCTGCATTCATACTAATTCTGCAGGAAACTCATTTAAAGCAAAGAACTGTAGGCTTAACTTTTTTTAATTATTATTTTTTTAAATTCTGTACGTCAGTTTACTCATCCCGTGTGTTCTCATCACACAGCCAGCAGCGTCAAATTCCTTTGAATCTCCTGTTTTCCTTTCAGCTAATTAAAAGTTAAAATTGAGTGAGCCACAGCATAATAGTAAAAGTTAAAGTATCAGCTTTCCAGCCCAGTGCAGTTTATGTGGGTGCACAGTCTCTTTTAGATTTAGTCCCTCCCCGAGGGATGATGAAAATGAGTATGACACTAAGAGGCAGTGGAGAGGAAACAGAAAGGCTCACCTGTCCTCAGCACAGTGATGATAAAATTTCTGTGCAGAATTTTGTCTCCTGTCTTGACTGTGAGTTTATACGTCCCCGCCTGAGCGTCTGTCGCCCACCAGAGCTCCAGGGACTCATTCTCAGACACAATTTTTTCATCCTGAGGCAACAAAGGCGACAAACGACATAAATACCTTTGATTTTAAGGAGATAGTTTTAAAATAAATGATAGGAAACCGAATCATCAAAAGTTGTCAACTTATGTTTTTTAATTAAATTAAAGACTTAACATGTTTCATTTACCTTGATCCACCTGTACTGAGCATCAGAGGAAACGGAGCAGTGAATGGAGGCGTTTTCTCCATAGGTGACGTTAATGATTCCATCTGTGTCACATGATAATTTGATGGCATCTGGGGTGGGAATGTCAGACAAATCTGGGCACAAAAGAGTTGCAAAAACACACAGACATGTGTTCATTTAAATGCAACATGCATCAGGAAGACAATGTCATTGGTTTTCTACATATAAGAATCATAACAGTTGGGAGAAACAAAAGATGCACTGTTCCAATTATGTTTTGATGAGAAAATTATTACTTTTTTTTTTTTTTAGCAACAAGTGTGGTGTAGAAAATGAAGTTGAACTACAATAATCAGAATATGTATTTTCTAAACTCAAGAGCCATGGGACAAATCTGTTCCCCAAAGATGATAATTTAAATGTAAAATTTTGCATCTCTTCTAATTTTTACTTTAAAATAACTGATACATGATTTAGTATAGGCTTCTCTTGCCAGCTGGTTAACTTTGAAGCCTGAAAGAAGGTTGGATCATTCTGTCATTATTAATTCTGATGTGGAAAGAGTAACAGAACGTCAAGAGAGACAGATCAAACTCTTGTTCATGAACCTGCAACCCCCCCCAAAAAAAAAAATCAGGTATCTGACTTGAGTTAATGTAAATGGTAAATGGACTGTACTTATATAGCACCTTTCTACCTTATCAAGACACTTAAAGCTCTTTACAACACAATCTGTGCCCTCATCCATTCATACAGCACTCTACTAGATCTATACAAAGATTAATCAGTGCTTTATCACATTCATACACCGATGGGACACACACTGGAGGCAATGAGGGGTTCAGTGTCTTGCCCAGGGATACTTTGGTATGTGACTGCTGGTGGAATCAAACCCCCAACTCTTGCAGGAGGACGACAACTCTAACCACTCAGCCACAGCCTCCAAATGTAATGTATCAGCTGAAAGTAGTCTGCGGCTCGGACAAAGTTTTACATTTTGTCTCCTTTTGGTAGCTGAGTTCTACACCCTAGATACTTCTATATGAAATGTATACTGTTAATAAACTAAATAAAAAATAATTCAAATATTAAATCCTTTCTTGACTATTATAATGTGAGGTAATAACGTCTTTTGAAGTATTTCACTTCTTACCTTTGACTGTTAGATTTGTTTCTTTTTCTGTGGAGCCCAAAGGGTAACTTGTAATGACACAAACATAGGTGCCACTATCCCATTTGTTTACCCAAGGAAGGAGCAGGTATGAACCCCTTATGACCGTGTCGTTCTTCTCAATCTGGATGGTCACGTTGGACCAGTAGTAATGGGGTCCAAAGGATGGGTTGTACACCACCAGCTTTGTCTTATCTTTTCTCCATTCAATATTGACAAGCTTGAGACCAGTGACGTTTTTCATTATACAAGGCAAGGGAATGCTCTGACCCACTTCAGCTTCCAGTATTTCATTATGGATCACATCAAGATTCCAAAGTCCTGTCAGATACACAAGATTGCAAGAAAAGTGAGAAGACAAAAACACTTGCTCTTTGAAGTTTATAATACAGACAGCTGTCCACGTGGCTACAGACAAAATCAAAGCGTTTTACCTTGACAGCTTGTTAAACCAGAAGCTAAAATATACCTGAACCCAAAGGTGAGCGTCCCATCTTTGCAGGTGCATTATATGAGACAGCGCACACAGATGTGCTTTGAATTACCTTGGATAAGGGAGGCAAGGAGTGGAAGTGAGAAGGCAATCCCCAGTGCCTTTCCAATCATGTTTTGAGCGATCAGTGAGGACAGTCAATCAACCAGAGAGATTTCAACAAAAGCAGGAGTTTACTGTCAGCTGAGGTTAAAGAGCGGGTCTGAGACTGTGAGATGACAAACAGGATGACCTTTTTTCACAGGAAGCCACAACGAGACACTGTGAGTCACATATGTAGAGCACTGAGGTGAAAGCGTTGTGTGAAGTGGAGGCGTGCAATAGATGTTAAACTCTGCTGCGCGTTTTGTTACTTATTCTGATCGTCAGCCCGCAGGAAACATACTCAAGAGTGTAGCTTTAAAATGAGTCAAGAATGAAGCCGAGGGAAATCACAATCCAAAGAAGACAGAACAATTAATTAACATTGTTGATTTAATAAACTACTTCCATTCAGACATCCTTAGGTTTTATAGCAGTCCCTCATGTTGAAACGTTTCTATTCTCATTCATTTGATTAATGTTACCCATCTTCTTTATTTATTACCTTTGTAGTTATGGTGGCCACTAGAGGGTTATGTCATTTGAATGCAAATATTTGCTACGTGTGCAAAAACAACAGGTAAAGTAACCCAGAGTCCTTTTAATGAAGAACAACTAAAATAGTATTGCCAAGACACTAAATATATAATATAAAAGTTGTCTATTATGCTCGATTGATTGATTGAATTTTAATTTTCCCCTTGATTTGTTTTGTTTGATGCAATGTATTCCACCAAACAGGAAATGGTCTTTGCATTTTAGCCTACCTGCTGTATTTAAAAAAGGCTGTGCCTACTTTCAACTTTTGCATAAACACACCCACATGCAAAATAATATTATGATAAATATATTTAAATTCCGTAAAAAAAAAATAAAAAAAAATAAAAAAAATATATAAATATATATTTATATATATATATATATATATATATATATATATATATATAACTCCCATTAAACAGTCGCATCGAGCAGCTTGTTCAGGAGAGAAATACATTGTGACAGCCAGTTTTAAGTTAATTTAATTATTTGTTAAATGATTTATTTACATATTTTAAAGCATTTTTTCATGGAAACATAGAACTGTCACATGACAAAATTATTGTTGAGCTGTACCTCGTTATAACGAGATGGTTACAATGAGAAAATATCTCATAAAAACTAGATAACTCTCTTGTAAAAACGAGATAAGCATTTGTTATGGTTTTCTGGTCTGGCATCACTCACGGACATTTCATTGCCTTGCTGGAATAAAGTGTAATGGAGAAAATGGAGACTGAGCCATTTTATGCATTTTTACGAAGAAGAAATCTGCAAGATGAACATGTTTCTAGACTGAAACATGACTAAGTAAGTCAATGAAAAATGTTTTTAAATTAAAAACATCTGAACGCTGAGAGTGAGTGCATTCAGCTGCCTGCTAGTGCTACATGCTATGATGCTGGACCACTTTGTTCCTTTTTGTTTTCATAAAATATATCTGTTTTTGGCCTTACTCAAAAAAAAAAAAGTAATGTTACAGACAGTCATTAATAATGTTGTATGTAAACACTAGCAATTAAACACCAATGAATTTCTCAAACACTGCTTATTGATAGGAGTAAGTGATTAAATACTTTCAAGTTAGCGTCACAGTTTTAATTTGTTTTACACAGAAATAAACAAAACATGCAAGATTAAACCAAATTAACGCGCTGGCTGAGTGTCCTGTTGTAAACATAATTCAATATTTGTAGACATTCTCATAATTACATTTATCAATATTCAATTCAATTTAGTCTATTTATATAGTGCCAAGTCACAACAGATGTTGTCTCAGAGCGCTGTACAAAACATTCACACACATAATAAGCCAATTAGTAAAATGTATCTATCTAAGGAAGGAAGCCAGCAGACTCATAGAATCTTCACTTCATCACAGTCTCCCATCCTGAGCAAGCACAATGGCAACTGTGGAAAGGAAAAACTCTGCCCCTCTTGCACTCAAAATCTTAAAACTGGACAATGTGTCATCCTCACAGACAGAAACTGGAAGTTGGTTCCACAAGAGAGGAGCCTGATAACTGAACGATCTGCTTCCCATTCTGCTCATGGAAAATCTAGGGACCACAAGTAAACCTGCAGTCTGAGAGTGAAGTGCGCTGTAAGGAAAACATGGATCAATAAGATCTGTAATATCAGATGGAGCTAGGTTGTTGAGAGCTTTGTATGCTAGAAGTAAGATTTTGAATTATATTCTGGATTTGACAGGGAGCCAGTGGAGAGAAACTAAAACTGGAGAGATATGATCTCTACCACCAACTCATTAAAACTCTGGCAGCAGCATTTTGGATCAACTGAAAACTTTTTCGAGACATTTTTGGACACCCAGATAATAAACAATATCAACAGTCTTGACGTAATAAATGCATGGACCAGTTTTTCTGCATCATTTTTTGACAAGATGTTTCTAATTTTATGTTGTGATCACAGGAAACCCAGATAGTTTGAGACCAGAATGAGTAGAGACTCCACACGTAAAAAGATTAACAGTGTTTATTTTTTACACTGAATAATATCAAATGTACAAAGGAGATCCTCTGGAACCCTGAGGAGTTAGGAGAGTGGTCAGGTAAGTAATTCCTGATGGCTTGAATAAGGTGTCTCATCTTACAGTTTGGAGACTTGTCTCAGTCTTGGAGGACAGTCCAAAGAGGATTCCAGGATGTGGACACTGGTGAGGCAGGCAAATGGCTGGAGGGCAAAGGACACAAAGATAAACTGTGATCCAGGGAGACCATGACACCGAGACACTCAAAGACACAGGTAAGCTGCAACATGAAGAGATAGATGATTTCAAAAAAATGGTTTACAGGAAAAAACAACTTGGCCAGAAGCATAAATACCATGAGGCATTGATAATGCTCCAGCAGAGTAGAGCTCATCTGTAGCCTTAAATAGGGAAGGATCCTCATTAGTGGAATGGCCTGCAGGTGTTGATGATCAATGACTGTCTTGGATCTGGAGGCTGCAGAAGGCTGTACTCTCACACTTTAGTCATATTATGCATGTGGAGGAAAGCAGTTCTGCTAAGGATTTTAATATGGGGGTTAAAAAATCATGTCCTGATCAAAAATAACACCATGGTTTTTAACTTTAGAACTGGAGACCAGATTAATGCCATCCAGGGAAAGTGAAATAAATTAGATGCTCAGGTCCAAAAACCACGACCTCTGTCTTGTCTGAGTTTAAAAGCAGAAAATTAGGGATCATCCAGGTTTTTATGTCTTTAAAACATGCTCGTAGTCTAAGTAACTGAAGTATGTATATAT